GGAACAACCTACTCCTTGATGTTTGTGGCCATTTTCTTCAAAAGCTCATTCATGGTTTGGTCAGCTGAAAGCAACAGGCCTCTTCAATTCTAACCCAACGCTTACGTTACGCTTGAATACGCGTTGTGCAGTTCATTCAGATAGTTTTATTATGATTGTGACTAGTAGGGAATGGTTTCTGTCCAGTCCTTAATCGGATTGGACCGCGTTGTTGGGTTTGTACTGACTCACCATGAGTCCCGTTTTGATAATCTGAACCGTTCAATATGTAAAACTCGTCGAACACTATATGCTTGTAAAAAATCACATTGATCGGATATCGATAACTATGTGATCAAAATAGATTTTTGTCAACCGTTAATTTATTCACCGTCTATTTTTTTTATACAAAACTGATTTAATCACATAGTTATCGATATCCGATTAACGTAATTTTTTATAGACATATAGTACTCAACAATTTCTACACATTAACAGTTCAGATTATCAAAACGGTACCCGTGGTGGGCCCCCATGGGCTCAACAGCACGGTCCAGTCCGATTAAAGACTGGACAGAAGCCATGCCCTAGTTGGGAATGGATTCTGAGGACTGGACCGTGCTGTTGGGCCCGTAAAGGCCCACCACGGGTCCCGTTTTGATAATCTGAACCATCAATATGTAGAACTCGTCGAGTACTATATGCCTGTAAAAAATCACGTTGATCGGATATCGATAGCTATGTGATCAAAACAGATTTTTGTCAACCGTTAATTTATTCACCGTCTTATACAAAACTAATTTGATCACATAGCTATCGATATCCGATTAACGTGATTTTTTATAGGCATATAGTACTCGACGAGTTCTACACATTGAACGATTCAGATTATCAAAACGGTACCCGTGGTGGGGCCCCACGGGCCCAACAGCACGGTCCAGTCCGATTAAGGACTAGACAGAAGCCATGCCCTAGTTGGAAATGGCTTCTGTCCAGTTCTTAATCGGACTGGACCGTGCTGTTGGGCCCGTAGAGGCCCACCACAGGTCCCGTTTTGATAATCTGAACCGTTAATATGTAGAACTCGTCGAGTACTATATGCCTGTAAAAAATCACGTTGATCGGATATCGATAGCTATGTGATCAAAATAGATTTTTGTCAACCGTTAATTTATTCACCGTCTATTTTTTTATACAAAATTGATTTGATCACATAGCTATCGATATCCGATCAACGTGATTTTTTATAGGCATATAATACTCAACGAGTTCTACACATTAAACGGTTCAAATTATCAAAACGGTACCCGTGGTGGACTTTCACGGGCCCAACAGTACGATCCAGTCCGATTAAGAACTGGACAGAAGCCATGCCCTTATTATTTTGTCGATTGAATTATCAGTGGAATTGACTTGTAGGGTTTTTATAAGTCCAGTTAAAAATTTTAACAAATTTTGAAATGTAATTCAAATTTTAATTTATGATTCTTTCGAGCTGATTGTAAATTAGATTTTTTTTTGGGGAGCAATTATAGATATAATTTTTTAAATTTTCTTAAAATTCTAATTGTTCCTTATAGTTTTTAATGTTATCAGTCATATATTTCAATTAACAGTTCTGGTAATTTCATTATTATGTAGGAGTCTAGTTAGGATTTTTTTTTTTTCTATCAATTCTATTAAATTATAAATTTTAACAAAGAGATATTTATAATTTTCAAAATTACAGGGACTATTTTGTATTTTAAGCAAATCATAAAGTGTATTTTCAATTGACTTTTTAATTTTATTTTTAAAATTCATATTTGACATTACAATGAAGTTTATCATAATAATAAAAATCAAATACAACATTGTTGGCTACATATTTTGTGCTAGCCAGTGACAATTCGACGCGTGGCAAAGTAAGGGTAATATGGGGAGACCAGCCAGATCTTCGATCCTGATCATACACGTGGCAGTTAATATTGGTTGTTATAAGATCTGAGTAGCAGCGGATCAACAAAGAGATGTACGCTGACGTGGCTTCAACGGTTGCTCACATCCAGATTCAAATATAGGAGGGAAGCCTAACTGCAAGAGAAGGCGTAGTGGACCTACTTATAAGGTAGCATGATCAGCGATCACGGAGGAGCAGTTCGACGGTTTGAAGTGCAGTTCGATGGTTATCGTTGGAAAGTATAAATAGCAGGAAGGACTTCAGAGATGGGCACGGAAAAAAGATCTAAGAAAACCAGTCTTACTTTACATATTCCAGTTTCATTTCCTGTTCTTTACATTTCTGTACTTTAAGTTCTTGTACTGCACTTCATTTGTAGGAGTAGTTTTCGAGTATATTGCCACTGTAAATCCCTACGAGGCTGAGATCGTTGTAAGTTTTTCATACTAATGAAATGCTTCAGTTTATTTAACTGTTTTTATGCTCAAGTTCTCTGAAGTCAAGCTACCAGTAAGCCACCAGTAAAAGTCCTCTTTATTGAGGCTAAAAGAACCATAACACAATCGTTTGAATAATTGGTTGGCAATTACAATTCTGTAAGGACTGATTGATCCTTGCTGGCACGCTCATAATTACAAAAATAACCTTCGAAAGCCAAAAAGCCAACATATATTTTTTGCACGCCCAGTGGGACGGTTTAAAACAATGGCTAGACGTAGGAGACAAGGAGAAAATGAACGTTTGGAAGAAAGCGTGGAAGGAGAGGTGGAGATATCCAATCGAGAGGATAATGTGATAACACATCCTGTGGAGACTCCTATCTTATCGGAACCCATGGTCGAACAGACCAATACTTCAGAGCAAATACCATTTGTTCGTAATAGTGGACGAGACCAAGGAATTGGACCATCCAGTGTCCCATCTACTCAGTCAATCAATCCGTGGGGCGACTTAATAGATGCCATGGGACAACAATTAATAAACACAATGGAAAGGTGGGCAGTATCTTTTTTGGATCGAATGAATAACCACCAACCAACAAATGTAAGACACATGGAGGAAGTAAATGTCCCTCAGCAAAGATTGGCTAGAGATAAACAGCCTATGCAAGCTAATGGACATTGTAATGGTCAAACCAGTAATCAAATTCATGAAAGATTACCACCTCAGTCTTGGTACGAACCCATTTCGAGGCCTGTAGCAGGCCAGAATGCCTCAATGTTCAACAGTGAAGCCATGCAAATTGGTGGATCTGGCCCAGTACAAGAAAATGGCATAAGAATGGTTCCAAATCCCACATTCGAAGCCATACCTGGCACTAGGGGGTACAATAATCCCTTATTCGAATTTATACACGGGGTTGGAAGGTTCCCTACAAATGGAAGATACAATACCTGTTCTAGCACCTTTCGTGGTCCTTTCACAGGACAGGCTCAAAGAGGTTACCTACACCCCAACAGCAACTTGTACCACAGGGACAAGCCAGTCCAAATGTACCACCTTATGGACCAAGACGCACAAGCACAAGTTTGTCCACCAAATCCTGTGTTTGTTTCCCAGTAGTGTCAGCAGGCACAAAATATGGTCCCTAGGACCAAATTACTGAGATAGTTAGGGAGTTGTGTGGACCAATGGCTCGGGAGTCCAGACTCTGATGTATAGAAAACCATACCCAGAATGGGTCGATAGGGTACATGAATATCCAAGAGGTTTCAGGATACCAGATTTTGTCCTCTTTCATGGGAACGGAAACCAATCAACAGTAGAGCATATTGCTAGGTTTGCCGCTCAATGTGGTGAATTTACCAATCATGATTATATGAAGTTGAGACTATTCCCAAATTCTCTAACTGGAGGAGTATTTGTATGGTACATTAACCTTCCACCTGGCTCCATCCAGACTTGGCAACAAATGGAAGAGGCATTTCATGCCCAATTCTTCCAATCAGAGCCAGAAGTTTCCATGGCAAACTTGGCAAGATTGAGTCAAAGGCCTGAAGAGAAGGCTACTCAGTTTATTTCCAGATTTAAGAGAGCTCGAAATAAATGTAGAGTAATCTTGCCAGAAACAGAATTTGTAAGATTGGCCCAAAATGGCTTAGAGTTCAGGCTTCGAAAGAAGTTTGATTCAACAGAGTTTAGAGATTTAGTGGAACTGACTTACAAAGTATCTAGATATGAAGTATTACTAGAAGAGAAACAAGATCGAAATAATGCATCATATAGGACATACTACAAAGATCCTAATTATGAGATTGATGCAGCAGAGATTGTGGAAAAAGAGCCTATGATCTGTGAAGCATTAATTCATAAAGATACAACAATTGACCAGCAGTTTAAAAAGAAAGATCTCCACAGGAAATATTCCTTTGATTTAACTAAGGCAGATGACATTTTTGATCATTTGCTTGTGGCCAACTTCCTTAAGTTACCAAAAGGGGTTAAAATTCCATCTCTTGATGAACTTAAAGGAAAAGTATATTGTAAATGGCATAATTCTTGGTCTCACTCGACTAAAAACTGTGTTGTTTTTCGAGACAGGATCCAAGAACAAATTCGGAAAGGGAGTTTGAAGTTCCCAGCCAAAGCTGAAAAAGCTATGGGGATCGATAGCAATCCATTTCCAGAAATTGGAGAGGTGGCAGCCAATGTCATTATGTCAGACTTTCAGAACCTGTCTTTGAAAGAATTGGAAGAAGTCAATGTACAGATACATGTGGCCAACCAGACAGCAACCAAAAAAGACATTAGATATCCACCAGCTATTGGACAAGATTTCTCACATCAGAGGGAAGACTCTGATGAAGAAGCACTGGATGATGACTCCTTAGAGGCAGCCGTAATGCAAAGGATGTGTCCCAGGTGCAGACTGAGTTATAAGTGGTTGAAAGGCCTTCCAGTTGATGGGAAGCAATATTACAGGGATGTGCAGAGGCGTCCCAAACCAACCAATGCCTATAACAAAAGGCCGTATCCGGCTAATGTTAAGCGGCAGCCATTAGTGGTTGAGCCTGCAGTTGATAGAATGCATGCTAAAGACAAGACGCCCTTATATGAGACCAGGTCACCTAACTATTACATGATGGAGAGTAGTCATTCTGAAAGAAGATTGGAGAAGAGTTCAGGTTTTAGGATCAAAGCCAGGAATTGGCCCTCTGGGCCAGCTTCACGAAGGACAGAAAATGTTCACCATCTTCGAGAGCCTGAATCAGGCTCAAAGCTTGGAGACAGGGCCAAACAATTGTCTTCACAGCCAGCCTCGAAGGTGACCTCGAAGGAAGGAAAAGATAGTTCAACGTCTGGGTCAGTAAGCTCGTGGGTACCTGGAGTCCCAGATTGGTTTGTGATGCAAAACAAACCTAGGGAAATGCCTACCCAAAGGAATGTTGGAAACCAAAGTATGATGGTTAAGCCTCCTTTGGTGGCCCCCAACAACTGGGTATTGCTGAAACACCCAAGAACGAGGGAACCAGATATGGTCCCCGTTATTTCCAGATCACAAAGGAGAAAATTCAACGTAGGTACACCCAATACCAGAAGGACCTGAAGGAAAGTAGAGAGAGTTCTTCATTGATCCAAACTGGAGAAAAGAAGAATCGAAAGTCAAACCATAATTCAAAGCCAGTTCTACACAATGAGGTGGATTGCAGCAGAGAACAGTTGGCCAAGGTCCATTCTGAACTAAAAGTCAGAGAGAAAGATACCCTAGCGGGGTTGGAGAAGGCTCTGATGGAGAGTGGTAAACAGTTGGCCAAGGTTCATTCTGAACTGAAAACCAGAGAAAAGGCTAGTTTGGTCGGGTTGGAGAAGGCTCTGACGGAGACAGACAGCGAGACTGAAGAAGAGAGTAGCGTAAGCCAGAAGAAAGAGGTTGTGGAGGAAGAGATGTTCGAAGCCTTCATGGCTGAGCAAACGTTTCTGACTAAAGAACCAGTTGAGAAAGATCCTTTGAATGGATCAGTTAGCAATGAAATACCAGAATGCATCATGCAGGATGTTTCTGAGGAAGTCGATCAAAGTGACCAAGAGGGGAAACAGGTACAGCCAGCCATCCAGTTTGGCTCGTTTCCCCCAGTATCAGTGAACATGGTACATATACTACCATCGGAGTTCCAAGCTGGAGATGAGAATCAAGAGGGGCAGGAAGCTGATCCAGTTCAGATCTTTAGTGAAGACTCACAAGCAAGTATGGTGCAAGATAATTTCGAAATGGTTACCCCGATGGAAGATGAATATGAGAGCGAGGAAGTGGTAAGCATCAACCTATCGTATCCATTCGAGTATCCCTCGAATTCCATGACACAACATGTTAAGCCTTTGTACATCAAGGCTTTCTTCGATGGGATACAACTGAATCGAGTACTAATAGACAATGGGGCAGCAATAAACTTGTTGCCAAAATCTTCTTTGAAGAAACTAGGGAAAAGGAATCCCAGGTTGATCCCAACCAGCACAACCATCGCTGGTTTTGCTGGAGATAAGCAAATGGCTCAGGGGATTCTACCCATTAATTTAAGTGTGGGAACCAGGGATTGCATGACAGCATTCTTCGTAATCGACAGTAATGCTAAATATAATGCTTTACTTGGAAGGGACTGGATCCACACTAACAAATGTGTGCCTTCTTCCTTGCATCAGAAAATCATGATGGCTTTAGGCAATGGAGAGACAGAGGAAATCATTGTGATCCCAATTAAATTGACATCAAGAAACTCATTCAATCATATACTAGCACAAGCCAAAACATGCCTTACTTAAGATTGGCAGTTGGTGATTTCAGCTTGCACACGACTCTTGTGTCGCTTTCTTTTGGAGTTGTTAACCCATACCGGACTACTAGCTCTCTCTATGTTGAAAGGGTTTTTCATGCACTTTTCTTTTATTTGAAGTTTCTATAGGGACGACTTTTGAATTTTCAAACTCATATATACAAGAAATTATAGGTTCTTGGTTTTCTTTTTTTTTTTTTTTTTCCTTCGTTTCAAACAATTGATTGTTGTTTAATGCATGAGAAAGAGACCTACCATGCTTAATGGTTTAATCTCTTCGGAGGTTCATTATCAAGGCATTACATTTCTCCTATGCTAAGGAAAACTTCTTTTTTGACACTTCTCTTCATTAGTGGATATAACTCTCATTTTTGGACAAAAACGATTAAGTAATGGAAATTTAATGTTAAAAGAGGATAATAAAATTAGAGGCTAATAAAATTGGAGCCAAAGTGGTAAAAAAAAGCAATAAAATCAAGTCAGGTTCATTTAGGCGTTAATTGAACCTATTGCGTCTTGACTCATTGTGTACTCTCTAGTGACGTTAAATGGTCAAAGAGCAATATCAACCACTTCCCTTGAGGTAACTCCGTGATAGGGAGGAGGTGTTGTTAGTCTTTTATTTCCATTCATTAAACCTTTGTCCTTTCGATTCATAGATCATCATGCAACAACTTTGCGACAATTAATGATTTGTGGACTGATTCTACTCCTCCCTTGATCAATTTCATGATAGGGAGAGACAGAGAAGATAGACATCCCTTGATCAGTTTCATGATAGGGAGAGTCAGAAAGGATAAACATCCACTAGAAACAATCTGTTTTTACTTTATTTCCATTCTGTTGCAGCAGAGCAGAACCTCAAAGCAGTGGCCGATCGACCATCCTTCCATCCGGCTGACCACTTTTCAATGTCGGTTGGCCGGCCACTCCATTTTATGTAGACAGTGTCATTTTCATGACAGAACATTGCAAAAGCTAGGGCAAAAATAGATTTATTTTCTGACTGCAAACAGAACAGGATCTGGCAGCAGAATAGAGGAGTTTCCGGGAGGATGTTTCCGATTGCACGTGTGGTTCTTCGACTCTC